ACAAGAAAGACATTGAGGTGCTGCAGTGTGTCCAGAGAAGGGGAGTGGAGCTGAGGAAAGGTCTGGAGCACAAGTCTTATGGGGAGCAGCTGAGGGAGCTGCTCCAGTTTAGACTGTAGAAAATGAGACTCACTCTCTACAACTACCTGAAAAGATGTAGCCAGGTGGGGATTGGCCTATTCTCCCAAGTAGCAAGCAATACAACTAGGGGAGAGGGCCTCAGGTAGCACCAGGGGATGTTTAGGTTGGATATTAGGAAAAATTTCTTCACAAGAAGGGTTATCAAGCATTGGACCAGACTGCTCAGGGAAGTGGTTGAGTCGCCGTCCCTGGAGGTATTTAAAAGACATGTAGATGTGGCACCTGAGGACATGGTTTAGTGGTGGGCTTGACAGTGCTAGGTTAACAGTTGGACTCACTGACCTTAAAGGTTTTTTTCAACCTATTATATGGTTCTACATCCGCATATAAAACCATGGCTCTGCCTTCAGAAATTAGTTCAGTTGTGATGGATCAGATGGCTGCATGTGATAATACCATCTCTAATCTAATTTTTGCAAAGATTAGCAATCCACACCCACAGTTCCTGGATGAATGGCCCCAGGTCTGCCTACTTGCATCAAAGGGAACTTACAGATCTGTATGATCCTGACAACTTCCAGCGCAGGGTAGTAATATCTAAAGGGCAGAGGGAAGGTCTCGCTGGGAGGATAACCTTGTGGGTCCCCCACAGAGCACCACAGGGACTATTGATGCTTCACTTTGTGCCGACCACAACTGCCCTTCCTTGGGGAAAAATGCACCTGGATACACAGATCTCTGAGCATCACAGGAATTAATGGATATACGGAAAAGAAAACTGATTGCTTTCAGCCAAGTGTTTTCAGAGCATCTTCCCACCAGCGCTCTGTCTCCATTATGCTTTGTTGTTAGTCTTTTTTTGCCCAACTACACCAAAGCTCCCCATTTTGGAGTGGCCACCAGACAACAGATTAATCATGACCCTTCAGGGTGTGGAATAGAAACATGCAGTCCACAGAGCTGAATTTTGTCTTGAGGCTGGGATTTACATAGTGCTTTCTTTACTGGAAGGTTTAGGAGCAGAAATGGTGCCATGCAACACCTCCTGAGTATCCCACAACTTTCAGCAGTAAATCTGCTTCTCCAGAGGCAGAAAAAGGAAGAAGACAGCAGCTAATTATACTCTGTGGGGCAATTTGCCTTTTTATTTCCCGATGTGCTTCCTGACTAGTGGAAAATCACTCTTGGCAAACACAAAACTTACCTTGCTTCCAAAAGGAGCATCTCTAAATTATTAATCAGGAGTACACAGGACCGCGAAAGGTGGAATATTGAACAAAGGCTCAATTGACACTCTGGAAGTTGAGGAAGATACGGAAGACTCCTCTCTAATTTATTTATTCCTTTTCTGTTCTGTTATCCTGATATGCTGCTTCCAGTTACCACTGCACCCCACACTGTATGGTATTACGTGATTTTGTTTTCAGATTGTTGGAGATAAAGTTACTTCATTATTAATATATATGCACTGTGCATATCCATAAATATTGAATATATACGTGTGTGTAAACCTACTGGAAGTGTTAATAGTCAAGATAAACGAAGTCCATTATTGCAATGAGTGACTATTTCTATGACCCTATTTGCAATAAAACCAGATTCAATGATATGAGAAAATTGCTGGGTTTCAGAATAATTGAACCAGGCCAGATGAATCCTCACAAAGGCATCATTTACAAAGTACTTTGCTTGTCTAAAATATTTATTCCCGTAGAAGGAAATGGAAAAAGAGTTCATATGGTTACACAGCTATCCTGTGAGTGTAAAATGTTTTATCATGTTATGTTTATTTCCTAGATATCTTCCACTGGGGTATTGTAGAAAAAATACTGGCTGTGCAGTTGATTCCTTTGTGTGGTCTGTTCATATTTATTCTCTGCGAAGTCAATCATGTTTTGTTCAGGCTTGTCTTGTTTTTCTGCTGAGCAAACACATAAGCAACCCCTTTCTTGTGAAAACTTATTTGCATATACAATATACACCATTCAACATTGCTGCTACACAGAGAATTGAAATGTCTCTGCTTTCCCTCCTGTGTACCACGGGAAGTAGTGGAGTTCTTTCTGAAAATGTTCCTGTTGCTCTTTAAGACTGCAGTATATTGTTCATGTTTAAGGACTGCATCAGTATTTATAGATAATTTTAGTTTGTCTTGTATTTAAAGCCTGGATAGATTTTTACTAGGAATGTTCACAGCAAAATGCTTCCAAGCAATCTACAGACAAAGAATTACTCCCAGCAATTATCCACTGAATAAATCTGAATAATGAATACATTCACAAAAGTCACTATCTATTTGTGAACAATTAGCTGAAAGAAATAGAGGTGACACTCGCAAGCTAAATAATTCATTTATGAATTATTTGTCCGGCTTTGCTTCTCAATATGTTGCATGAAATGAGATCAAAGTTTAGATGAAAAATTATTTTTAAAAGAAGGGCAATGTTAAAGGAAATTCTTCCAGCTTCCAATGCAGAAATCATCCTACTATCATAACTGTTATTTATTACTAGTAATTTTAGAGGCTAGTGAAGGTATTTTCCTGGAATCTTTTACTTTGTGCATTAAGCTGTGTTTTATTCCTAATATATAACCAATTTCAGGTTGTTAGACTGCAATCAAAAGCAGTTGGTAGAAATGGAGCTGTCCCTGTTATGAGATTTGAACTCCTGGCATCTTTATCCACTGGAACTTGAGTGCCCAGGTAACTACTAATTATTCAAGCATTTACAACTATTACTATCAATATAAATAACACATTGTGGAACAAAAATGAGAATGGGACTATGAAATGATCATTCCTGGCATTTAGATAACAATCTTTAATGAAAACATTTATGAGTTGCCCAATTAGTTTTCAGTCAAGTGAACAGAAAATTTGTTTATATTTAAGGGAAATCTAGAACTGAAAAGAAATGGTTTCTGGCATCAAAAATTGTAAATGTTGTCTCCATATGTCCATTTCTTGAAAACAACTACTCCCATCAACTATTCTGTCTGGGGTTTTTTGAGAAATTAACAAAAAGTTCTTGAGCAATTGCTTAGAAAACTGTGAGACTTTTCTTTTAACAAAACCAGATTCAGTGAAAAAGACAGGAGCAAGATTTTTCATTCAGGTGTAAAAGTTTACTGCCACTCTCTGCAGGAGTAAGAGGCTGCACAAGACCTTCTTATGTACCTTGCTGGGTGACACTAGTAAAAATAAGTGAGACAATTCCCATAGAGAAAGTCAAAGCTAGATGAAGAATAGAATTTTACTTCCTTCTTCCCACCTTCATCAGATTTGCTGGCCAAAGCAGGCAGGTAAATTCCATCTTACATTAATTAGTAGCAAGTGATTATCACAATAAGAGGAAGGAGGAACCAGAGAAGAGGCCAGGGACCATGGTTTGGTAGGATTTGTCACTTTTCTGTCAAGGATCTACTATGAACAAAATTTTGAAGAATGTCTTTTCCCTGCTAAAAGCCAGCTTAGATATTCCAAAATAACTTCTTTGAAACATTTGCAGGACACACTAGAGAGGGGATTTTGAGAGCATTTCACAAGTCCTGCAGCTGTGAGCCGGTTTCAGCATGAGGAAAAGCTCTCCATCATCCCAATGCACAGGAAAGAGAAGGTAAGGTAACTTTCTCCAGGTGGCTTTTAGATATGGTACATTCAGTGAAGAGTCCTAGACCAGCCAAGTCTGTTCTTCTCCATGTTGATACTGATGCCACTGCTGGGAAGGGCACGGCTTGAGGACAGCAGATCCATGCAGAGGCTGAGCTGCAGGAGGGCAGCAAGGCTGGAAGAGTCTACTGACCCCACATCAGCCACAGATGCCTCCTCTACTATGCTGGCCCAGTTTTCTCGGGGGGAGGATCCCAACCCATTCCCCAGATTCCTGAGAGAAGGTTAAAACAGTGAAGCCCACAGAGCTTCTGATTCCTACTGTCAACATGAGCATCTTGCAACTCTTGCTAAACTGGGTAGGTGCAGAACGAGGGCCGGTCTGAGCATGCCCTGGGAGAATCTATCCAACCACCTGGAAAAAAACCAAACACCATAGTATTTTAGACATGCCACAGCAAATAAATAGCTCCAGGAAACAAACAACAAAAAAAGCACAAGCTTGTGCTTGCGGGGACAGTAAACCACCATATTTCAGCAGTCATGGCAGGTATTTCTGACTAAAAATTGTATATTTGATGATGACCAACCTTCAGCATTTGACAAGGGGCTGTTAAAGCCTCTTGAACAGTAAATCACCTCTTTTCCCATCAATAATTTTATTATGATATTTGTAGAAATGTAAAATGTTAAAATCCCATTTTATTGCTATAATAATGGATTTAATTTGAAAAACATATGAAGTGAGGCCATAAATGTACTGGAGGGATATATATATGTGATGCCACTACATCTATATAATTTCCTGATGTCTTTACCCACATATTTTGAATGGAAGAAGGAATAAAAGCAATTCTGCTTGCAAGGTTTTTGAGATTGGGATTGGATTCTGAAAAGGAAAACAACATGATCACAGAAATGTAAAAATTATGATAAAAAACCAGCCTAAATTTCACATTTATGCAAAAAAAAAAAAAAAAAGGAAAAAAACAACGTAGGTGTTTATCTGTGATTTGCTCCATTCAGGCCCTTCCCTGTTGCCAGGAAAGCCCTGTTTTCCAGCTGCACAATCAGTACTATCACTATGTGCTATTTTTGGCTACTGAGTACATTTCATGTAGCGTCATCCTTCCCACACCAACACTGGTATGAAGGGCGGAAACTCTTCTTTCCACTCCTCTGTCATTTGTTGCTGCTCCCATCTGCTCAGCGGCACTGCCTGCTCCATCCTCACTGTGGAGGGATCTCCAGGTGCTTTTCCCTGTTCCTTCTCATTTCCTCGAGCAAGTGGGTTTCCCTCCAAAGCTTCATGTGGGACACTTCATGGTGGCATCCAGAGTACATGTCCCAGATATGTCCAGTCCCACCTTCTGGTCCTAGTGCAGAGGAGCTGCGGGTAAGTAACCCTTTGATGGGCGATAGAGTCCTTGTGTCCAACTCCTGAAGCTTTTTACAAATGGGCTGTTTTTAAGGTCATATAATTTCCCAGCTCTCACTTTGGTAGGTTTCCAGCTCTTGTCAGGATATGTTAATGCCAGGTTTCTGTCTGAGGGGAGAATGCATTATTTCTTCTGACACTCTGTAGCTTTGATTTCCATTATTAAAGTCTAGTACATATCATAAAGCTACTTCCTTTTTAAGGTCTCCCTTTGCTAGGTGCTACCCAACCAGCTAGTTGTTTAATATTTTTCTCTCCTGACATGGTATCGCTGTTAAGTATTTGGAAAAGCTCAAATGGACAAAAGCTGCACTTGGAGTTATAAATCTTTTCAAATTTAAGGTTCAGTTTCCTCGGTTGTGCCACAGGAAGAGCCCTCATAGCTAAAGCTATAACGACCTCTAACCTGAGCTGGGCTGTGTCTCCCTAAACCTGTTTAATTTTACACAGAATAATCAAATATTCATTATGTGAGTAAGTGTGTGTGTGTGTGTGTGGCTGCAGCAGAGTGATTAGGGTACTCACCTGGTAGATGAGAGACCCTGTTCCCAGTGACCGCTCCAATGAATATTTAAGTATTACATATTAAGTATTCATTGGAGCAAGGATAGGAGCAGACTTCTGCCACCCCCAAGGGAGCACCCAAACACCAGGCTGTAAAGTCACTCTTTCCTTCTTTAGCTCAATGAATATTTAATTATTCAAGGCCAAACAAGACGGCTTTAGTGGCAGAGACTGAGATTCCCTGCTCCCATATGCATACCGTAGCTCTGATGGTGAGGGCTTGTATACAGGAGATGTGGGTTTGTATTTCTTTGGACTTGGAAAGAAGTTGAATCCAGGTTTCCCATACCCTGAATGGGGCTTCCAGCTTCTGAGCTGCTGAATGAAAAATACAGAGCTCCAACACACACTGTCCATGAGACAGAGGTGTTATGACCCCAAGATCAGAGAAAGCATCCTTATCAGTGATAAGGGTGGGTTTATACATCTCTCAGGAGGAGGTAGCAAGCTGAAGATGTTCCTCATTCCATGGCAGTTCCAGCTGGCTATGCTAAGTACCTTTCTGAGGTTATTCAGAGAGTGATGCATAAGAAAATGTGCTCATCTTCTTTACTCCGGGGTCTGACACCCCCAGACTGTAGTTAATGGCACCTAATCCTGCTCCTGCAGCCCAAGGAGTGGATGTGTGAAAAGGTGACTTTGGGGAAAGCATCCAAAGAGAAAAGGTAAGGCAAGGGTAGTATTTGAATCTAAAAAAGTACACAAGTAGAGAACTGAGGAGTAGGAAGATTAAAGCAAGAAGAAAAACATGGAGTAAGGAGCAAGCAATCCTTGAGTGAGGAAGTAACACGCAAGAGGAAAAAAAGGAGCAGGGACAGTGACCAGAAGGCACAAACAAATCATCTCAGAAATAATATCCTTTACCTAGCAGAGGAACAGAGGGAGTAGGGAGAAAGGGCTAGAGAAGATGACTTCAATCTTAAAAATAAAATGCAGAGAATCTCTACCACACACTTGAGTCTTTGAAAAATAGAAAATTTGCTGTCTGCTCTCCAATTCCAGAGGATGGTGAAGATTCACTTTAGATTCGCTTTGGGGAGTTGATTCACTCTGGATTCACTTTGGGGAGTTGACTGTGGGAGCATTCCTATGCAGAAAAGTGACTTATTACTGTTATTGCAGTTCTGTTTCTTGTAATTTCAAAGAATCCACAGCATTACGATTCTCTTGTTTAAAACTGTGGCTTCCAAGCAAAAACCAGAGCAACAACATAAATGCAATATCGAAGTGCAAATAAATTACCTTTTTGTACCCATCAGGATTGTGTCCAAACCCAAGTCTGCTGCATAGTCCCAGTTGTTGAAATGGCAGCACTGCATTCCAAATGGAACTGCTGAGCTCGGAACATTTCAAAGGTTCTCCAAATGATATGGTTCATGTATTTCATATCACATTTTTGTCCATCTACCCCAAGGCTGTTGAGCAGCCACCTTCAGCCGCTGTTCACTGCAATTTAGAGAAATGCTTTCTGAACACTTTACTGTCCATTACTTGAACTAACCTTTTCCCTGAGAATACAGTTTTAGAGTACTGAATGTCTATGACAATGAAGGAATACCCCTATTGTCTTGCCATAAATAACACAGTGGTCTGACTATAAATATCCAAGCAGATGTGTTACATACCTATAGCCACAACATAGCCATAGAAGCTCAGAACTTCACCCAGACACGTTAACCCTGTTTCAATGGCCATGTGTTTTGTGTTTTGATCAACTCTTTAGGTAGATGACAGTAGCTATCCTCCTTCAATACTGAGGAAAAGGCAACCTGTGGATCAAGCTGTGGGGGAAAAGCGGAGAGTAGAGAGAAGGGTTCGATTTCGTGAGCCAGAAGTCACTGAACACGGTATGCTCAAGCTATTAAGCCTTTTGGCATGACCTTTCTAGCTTTTAACATCCACCCTGTCTGTCCACATCAGCTTCCTCCTCTGAGAATGTTATTTGTGATTTTCAGCTCCGCGTGGAGCAGAGGATGTACAGTTTTTGCTCTGTGCTCTGCAGAATTGTATCTGGTTGATTTGCCTGCCTGCCCTGGGAGGAGACAGGCTCCTGCACCCTCAGCTGTTCTCACAGTGGCCTCCTGAGTCAACCCCCACAGGGATCATTGTAGACCATGGGTTTGGCTGAGCCCCAGGGCTGCCCCAGAACAATGTATCCACCCATAAAAAGGATCTCAGACAAATTTTAAACATGTTTATGTCATTCTGGGTACCTAGGATGCAACAGGAAGGCGGGAGCCAGCCCTGTCATGGTTTTGAGCAGCATGCATGCCACAGAATACAATAGCAGAGGTCTAAGCCTAGCAGCCAGGATGTAATAATTTCTGCCAATGAAGGCACCCAAGGAATGACACAGCCAACAAAACCTCTGGTCATTTCAGTCATGAGCCAAAATAGCAGCTTACAGATAGGTCAGCTGGGAGTGACCATAAGCAGAGGTCTGGCACAGTGATCCGATTTGCACTTCTGCATGTGCTATATGCAATACTAAATAAGAACTATTCTTGTTACATTCTGACTGTCTCCAATTTGACCCAAGTAAGAAAATTGTATTTATTGGTAGAGAACTAAAATTGTATGGGTTTGATACGTCAGTCAGTAAAAGCACAGGTGACAGAATGGTAACATTTATATTCCAGCCACCTGTTTGGACTGCTACAGCTTCTGAAAACAAGGCTCGGCATCTACTGATGTGTCTGTAAACAGAACTCTCATTTGTTTGGCAACACATTGTTTGGGATGCCTCCTGACGCAGGAGGGGAAAGCTATTTCTTGATAAGGTTGTTGCCATGGCCTGGGCTTTCCCATCAAAACTGAACTCCTGGAAACGCTCAGTGAGTCAGGCCTAAATTTGCCCAAGCTCATCTGACTGCTCAGGAGGATTTTGATGGGAGTTAATAACTCCCTCAGCTCTCTGCCGGGGTCCCTGCCGGCAGTGCTGGTAATCCTGCAGTAAGTCCAGCCCAGGGGGACCAGGTTGGTCTCCCACTGGCTCTGATTTCAGCACAGCCATGCTGGAACTCCAGGGAGCTGCAAGGATGGAGAAGACGTTTCCATGAAGACATGAGAAACATTCCAACCCATAATTAGTATTCTGTGATTTAAATTATTTACTGTTTGTCCACACATTATTAACATTAAGGCTGGTAAGATGAACATTTCTGGCACCAGTGAAAATTTTCCATTCTATGGACTTTTCATCCTGGATTGTGTCTGGGCCCCGGCTGCCAAGCAGAGGGATTTCCAGGATATTGTTGGATGAAAGTAATCTGAGAGTGGGCCTTGCCTACTTAACTTTCATACTTCTGATCTATCTCCTTTCCTTTCTAAAAATTATTTGGAATAGGTAGGTTTTCTTTGCAGGAGCTGATTACTGACTGCCCTGCAACAGCAGTAAACTCTGCCTCTGAACTCTTCCATACAATAATTTTTCTCACTTTCCTGAAGCGCACCTGCATCTGCATTTTGCATGGAGTGGATAGATCCTCACCCAGAGCCAAAAGTGTTGTAAGAGGAGGCTCAGCATCTATAAAGTGACAGGCAATTTCAGAGACACCACTTGGTGCTTGCTTTTATGTTCACCTGCTGCCAAGAGACCTTTCCAGGCGTGTAAGAACATTTTCATTCTGTTTTCTAGCCATTTCCTGCTGTGACTACGTAGTGGGTAAGTTGAATTTTCACATTATAACTGTGAGCCATCCATAGCATTAACCTGAGTTTGCTTTTGTGGCTGCTGGGATGCACTGTGCAAATACACCCTCCGTGTACACAGCATTTCGTGCTGTCAGTGGTTGTTGCTTTTTCTTCTCAGCATAAGCAGCACAAGGTGCTGATGAGGTCTGGTGCAATTTTAAACAAGACGTCCAGTGAGACAAATAGTGGAAACAAAAATGAAATCCCTGAAGCTATTTTTAATTTAAATATAATTAATATATTTTATGGCAATAGAATAGGTACAGGTTTTTCACTAAGATATGCAAGGAAAGCACCCTAAGCGAAACAATAGTTCTCCCTGCTGAGTTTTGTGTGTGAGGAAGAGGCAATTCATTTATATGCTGGCAGCAGGGTAGAAATAATAAAAATAATGTGTTGTTTTTTTTTTTTGTTCGAGGTCAGGCAGCCTTACAGACCCTGAAGCAAATGTGTGTATCTGGATTTCTTATGAGGGTGATAATTTCTAGAGGCCCTGGCCAAAATCCAGCCCCTGCTATATGCAATGCAGTGAGAGGAGAGGGGTACATATATATACATGTATATATACACACACAGATCCATAGTGTTGGGAGGCCAAAAAGCCTCCCAGACAGATGTCCCCATATCCCCTAGCTATTGCTGTTGTCCGGGAAAAGGGTTAGTGTGCTCATGACAATGGAAGCATCAGCTAAGGCAGCTATTGGGCTAGAAAGAAGGTGCTATAGGCAGGAGAGAGACAGGTGGGAAAGCAAAGATCAAATACTCTTCAGGGGACAGTGGAACTGTGTGTCCAAGGCAGAAACTGAAACAAAACTTCCTGTGTCTGGGTCCAGTGCTTTTCTCAGATGAGTTGCCATGAGACTGGGCACACGCCTGTGGCTGTGCGTGCTCTTCCAACAGGCAATTTAACTAACAAATTTAAGCATTAAATTTCTACTTGTAATCTAGAAAAAAAATATTAAATTTCAGCCCATAACTGTAGTGATGTACTGAAACTGTTGTGAGCATAGCTTATCTCTATTCTGTGCATGGAAATATTTTTGCACATTACCTTTTTTTCTGTTCATGGACTGAATATACGTCCTAATTTTGCAGATTGGAAAACTCAAGTTTGCATTTGAGGTCACTCAGAAATAACTTTTGCAAGGTTGAAAAAGGTCATAAGAAATTCACAGAAAAGGGCTGATATGAAAAGCTGTTCAGCTTTCACAGAAAGGTTTCACTGCTCCCATGTGTGCTCATCAGCCAAGTCCCTCACTGTGAAAGGCAGGTGGGCACCCAGTGGAGAACTGTAGCCTATGGTGTGAGAAATCACACAAGGGAAAAGAACTTCCAGCTCACAAATCTCTGCAAATGCAGAAAGTGGCGAGCAATTCCCTGGCTAAACACCTTCATATCAACCATTCATAGAATAATGCCAAATAAACAAATTTATAAAAACGGAATTCTGCTTGTGGATAATTTGCAAACAGAAAGAAGGGCTAAATTCAAATGAATAAATTATTTGCTCCAAATAATTCACTCAGATCTATTATGGGACATTGATTTGGTTTCTGGTTAGCTGTAAAATGACTGCCTATTAACATTTTACCTTTTCCCCATGCACTTTTTGATACATTATTATGTGTTTCCTGCTTGGTTTTATGACTTTTACCTTCCTTTCTGTACATCTGTATGACAGTTTAATTGACTGGTGTGTATTCCAGGGCTCGGAGTAGAAGCTAATTTAAATATGTTACAGCTAATGTTGGCCCTTTACCCATAATAATGCACTCCACATTTTTATCTCCTTATTGATTATGTGCATATGGCAGGAAAATAGCTGTAGACTATGGGTTTTATTCAGGCATGAATTTGGCTTTATACTGCGTGTTTAATACTCTAAGTGCTTTATAAAATAGTACAGACTGTGGAATGGCCATGAAGTCAAACAGAGCAGCCAGATCTGAATCAAACTGGATCCCTGAGGCACCCGGATGGATAAACACGTGCAAGGATTGGGGCACAGATGTCAGCAAGCTAAATGTAGCCCTCTGATTTCCACATGTGTGCTGTGCCTGACCCAGGGTGCTTTAAACAAACTTGAACTGTATTTTGAAGACAAGAAAAATGTTTACAGGTTGTTCCTGCCTTAGAGCACGTGCAGAGGATGTTCCAGTGTAATTAGCACACGTAGCACTTAGAGAGTGGTTAAAACTGCCAGAGCTTTCTAAACATTTTCTAACCCCTTGGTTAATGGAGCCACGTTTCAGTTCTTACCATATTTAGCAGGAGTCCCAAACAAGCTGAGTTACCAGGGAAAAGGATGGAAATCTACATCTTGTCTCTTTTATGGAGCATTTGTGATCGTTAAATATTGGATGAAGTAGCTTCATATTCTCCTAGTATTCATCTTAACATATAGTGTAAAAGTATAAAAACTAATTGCTGGAGGGCTACTTGAGATCACACATTAACTATGGTAATCCTGTTCCTATTGTATGTAATTAAACCCTTTAAATGCTCCATTAGATGATGTATTTTATACTCACCACCCTCCATCAGCGGGTGTGACTCACTATTGCTTAACTGATGTGTATGGAAGTACTCACAACCAGAGCCCTGTGTACCCTGCTGTTCCCAGAAAAGTGGTACAAATGCATCAGCAGGGGACCAAATTTGGGAAGTGTTTAAGATGACACTAAAATAACGCTGCTTTCTTTTTTTTCTCCTCATCACCATTCAGTAGATGACAGGTCATCATCTGGATTGCCTATGCTCCTGTGGCTCTCATTTTGTGCAGTGCTGATCCTTGCTGTGAGTCTCTACTACACCAGCATGAAGCAAGATGTCAAAGTCCTGGAGGAATTTCAATCCCGACTTGTTATCTTCTTTCTTCATATAAGACACGTTGCTCAGAGATGTTGGACTTGGTTTGTGAAGCAGTAGCAATGTCCTTCAGCCTGACACTGTTAAGCAGCATGAGCCAGTGCAAAACTCCCAGTTTACTCCAGCCACATGCAAGGAAACACATGATCATCCACCTCAAAGAGCAAGAAAATCACCCCTGTTGTGCATCATCCAGCAGCCACTTCTTTTTTCTTCTTTGTTTGTTTTTCCACATCAATGAACAGTCATTACCAGTGCCTTGAGTTCTCACCAAACTCATGCTCCATCACCCTGAACAGCAAACAAGTATCTCAGTTTTGTCCCCCATAGTTTATGAACTGCTGATATGAGGAGCAAAAGTAGAGAGAGAAACAGATTGATCTGTGCAGGCAGCAGCAAGCTCTGAGGAAAAATCTCCTGAGTCTCAGGTCAAGGCTTTAGATATCAAATCACCTTTCTCCTTAAGTCTCCTAAGAGCTATTCTGCAAAAGTTAAAATAAAGCAGAACTATTGCACCAACACTTCTCTGGTGGCCAAAGGCTTGACAAGCTGCTATATTTACACACCTGAAATGTTTATTAGTAAAATCCCAGCAAATGGCTTTCTCGTTTCCCTTCATGCATTTTTTTTTTTACTCCATGGGCAAAAGCTGTTTCTTACTGATTCACTTAACTCCCAGGAGTGAAAAACAACACGAAAACTCATTTAAACAGAAAATAGTTTATTTGCCTAACATAAAAAATAGCAGCATTGAAACTCAGGCTAATCATCAGATCGGTAGTTTAATCCTCTGGGTTTGATTCAGTCCATAAACTCTGCGAGCTGACTTAAAAGATTTATGATAATGCTTGTATTCAACCAGAGGTTATACTTTTTATGCCCTAGTATTTGGGGCCTTATATCATGGCAATATGGACTGGTTATGAAGGAGTGGGAGGCCAAGTCCCTTTACCCCTCCATTGCCCCCCATACTATGCAGGTCTCTGAAGAGAATCCTATTAATGAAGATCATGTGAAATGGTGCTCTGGGTATCTGAGAGGAGAGCAAATTAGTGCAAGCTTGCGAGCTTCAAAGAACCAGCACAAACAGCTTTTTAGGCCTTAGATTCTTCACAAGTAGTACCTGATATGTGCTTGGAGTTATTTGGTATGATAAAATTGATATCAGGACCTGTAAAAGCTGAAGAAAAGGAAGCAGGAAAAAAAGGGGGAAAGAAAACACTGCGGAGAAGATTAAGTGATGCCTGCAAGACCTTGGCTGGAATTCCCCTGCCAAGATAACCACCAAAAAGAAAAAAATGGTGCTTTATTTTTAATAGAATTTTTTAAGAGGGCCATACCTCTGCCCCAGCAATCTTCTCCCAAGCAGCCCAAGGACTTTAACCAGGAGATGATAAACAGAAATGCAATATGCAGCCTTCTCTCAAGAGGAGAGTAGGCAGCAACTTGATTGAGAACAAGTCAAAAAAATTGCTGCCCAAGATAGAAAGAAGTGACTTCAGTGGCTGTTCTCATGCTCCTCCTAAGCTGTCAAAGCCACAGGCATTGCATTTGACATGTGCCGGTCTGGGAAGCAGAGGTTGCTGCAGGAGGAGTATTTGGCTCAGGGGCTCTGTGTGCAAACCACTCAGGTACCCCAGCTCAGAGGGTAAGTTTCACACTGCTTCCCTCCCCTCTCCACTGTCTCAGCCCTGCTGTTTAGGTAATAAAAAAGAAAGGTTTTAAACTTGTGTGCTGGTGAATGTCTGATGAAAAGGTTTAGATTGGTACCTGCACAGGGCAAGGGGGTCATTGCAACTTCTGCTTGCATCTTTTAATGTTTATGATCTTTTTCATGGTCATGTTGAAACTCTTTGGCAAGCCAGTGGTGTTCCTTTTTGGCCCTGGACTGACATGTCCTCCCAGCACGTAGCAATTAGGCCCTTCTAAACAGGAGCCTGTTTGAAGGGACAGTTCTCTCACTCCAAGTCATGGCACATTGCAGTAAAAATGCAAAGGTTGAGCTGACAAGAGCAAGAGCGGTAGAGTGAACCCTTCCAGTATGTTAGCAACCTGGTTTCAGTAACTTTAAAAAAGCTAATGGTTAAGGTAAAACAGGAACTCCTCTTAGGACTGTGAGGAAAAATGTGGAGGTGGTGTGAAGATCATATCTGTGCCCACCTTCCTGCACAGCTCCCCAGGAGATGGACATAGGACCACCTTTCCACTGGATCTGCTTTAAATGGAAAATGTCCACGTTCCTCTTGCTGGGGCCCAATTTTATCAGTGTGAGTGAGAATAGATATCACATCTGGACTGTCAGGAACATTAAGCAGAGGAATGGCTATTCTTGGCTTTTGTGTCAGCTCTGGTTGGGACGGTTTTGGGCATGGGCAAAGGCAGCACTTGAGTTATCTGTTGAGGTCTCACCATGGCTTTACAAGGTCTCCCAGGTCAGGATTGTTTACTGTGGTCGGTCATATATGTTGCAGGTTGCAAAAGGCCAAATTAAATTTGCCTCAAAGCCAGAAGATTTGAAATAAATAAAAGCTAAATTACGTTTCAAGGAGAGTGATGGCATTTCACAGGTGAAGAAACTGAAGCTAAGAAAGCCAATGCATCTGCGGGAGTGAATGAAGTAGGTCAATAACAAGTCTGGGAATAGGAGGAAAAATTCCAGCTCCCAGGCCTGCATTTGTTTACTGCTGCACAACTTCACTGTGGACTTACCTGTTTTATTTCCTTCTCACACGGAAGCTCTTTTCCCATTCACCCATCCTGCTTAAACCTACACACACACACACACCCACACACCCACACCCTTTTCCCTCTCTGCTCCTTCATTCAGTTCTTTATTCATCACAGCTTTATCCTACTGCCATGAGCTAGATCTGATTTCTTCGTGTTCAATGTTTTTCTGTGTGATACCTTTGTAAGTTTGGAGCCCTAAATTTACAAAAATGAGCTATGTTGGGTAATAACCCCCTTGCTGGCCATGCTGGGTAATATTTCCCTTCAGTACAACTCCTGAGAATTTCCCAAAAGAGATAAAAAGGAGAGGGAGTAAAAAATTTATTGCAAGTGGTGGAGATGCTCACCTGAATTCGTGCTGGTGCCAGCTTGGTAAATTGCCTTAGAAGACAAGAATCCTGCAGCTAACCACCTCTGAGCAATTATTTAATCCAGTTTGGAAATGGTCATGTTTTAGATATAAAGGCCTGAAAGAGGAAGTGATGCAGGACAGGACTCTTGCAGCAATTTTTGAAGCAGACAGTAGATGTGGGCTTCCCAGGAGCAATGTCTGGGGTGGCAGGAGTCAAACGGCCAGAGGAGAGTACAAAGAAGTCTGAATGTGAATGACAATGGACTAATGGCAGGGCCTAAGGGTAGAAGTGCTGCCTAATATCCCTTATGCAGTGAGCATGTAGTTAATGCACAACAGAAATCAGCAGACCACAGCAGACACAGCAGAAGTGTTGTTTTGACAGTGTTCAGTACATTCCTGCAGTGTGAACGGATGGAGGGCAGCTGCCAACACCCTCTTCAGGCAGAGCCACCACATCAACAGCACCTGATTGAACTAGCAGGTGTATCCATACCCATATGATTAGAGGAGATAGAAAAGGACATAGTGAGATGACACTAGATGTTTTTACATTAACCTTTTGATGCACTCAGCATTAGTGCTGGTAAAATGTAGTCCCAAAGACTGCTTCTAGTCCCGCTCCCTCCCTTCATCCATCTAACCCTGACAGTCTGAAAACAAGTTAATGGAGCAGGAGAAGCCCGTAGCAGCAATTGTAATTGTCACTTCTGCCTTTTGCCACTTTGAAGCAAGAAGAAGGGCTGGCAGCTTGTGACTATAAAAAGGGTGTTACCAGCTGCCCTCAAGCAATAACTCAGGAGCCTCTAAGATAATAGTGTGGACTTGTTTATTATTAATTCCTTGCTCCAGGATAGCTGTTGGGAACCTTTAGGCCCACCTCTGAAGAGGAAGACTGATGCTACATGAAGAAAATTAAACAGCTGGCATTTAGAAAATCAGCCTGCTCATGCAGCCTGTGGTCCCCCTTTATATTTGCTAACAATCTGCCTTTCAGCTGCATGCTGACACAGGACTATCTTCTCCTTGCCTCCTCTGGCATTAGGGTTCACTGCTGGAACACAGTACGAAAAGGGCTCAGGCAGTTTAAGATTGTTGGGCATAATCCTTGACTATACAAGCTGTGGCATGGAGATACTGGGGAATGAGTACATGAACTAAGACACTGCCACTGACTTTGAGAACAATTTTTTATCTTACACTGTAACAATTTAAATTCACCTTCAAAGAACAGGCACAGGCACAGAAATATTGAATGTTCAAATAATTTATTTTTATATATCACCAAATCATAAAAAGCCAATGCACTGTCCAGCAAAAAGCGTCAATATATAAAACACATTAGCTTGTTATCAGTAATGCTAGAGTGTGTCACTTACACTGAACCCAGTCCAGCTCCTACTAAAGCCAAAGGAAACTGTCAGTGACTCCACTAGCAGAAGGATTGGACTCAGCTACGTGTTTACAAAGGGCTGTATTAAAATGCTAGTAAAAATTTTCCTTTGGAGGTTGTATCAAAACAATAATAAGCCTCACTCCCTTTCTGGTTTTGTCAAATACATGCAATTAAAGCTCCAAATCAGCAGTCATTACACTGCAAAAGACCATACAAATCAGGAGAGAGAATATTCAAAACAGGCAAGGCTCTACCCTCAGTTTGTGTGGACTGGCATGGCTGCTTACAGGCTAATCTATATACACCATCCAGGGATCTGCCCCTCTGCTGCTTTCAGTGGTTAAACAAATCATGAAAAAGCGTTCAGTTTTCTCCCCCAAATGCCCATTATTCAGGGATCTCTTTGGCAGCATAACAAAATAGCTCATCTAGACTCTTAGAAAGCTTTTTCCCACTCGGCTATGAGACAGTAGCTCATGAATACACACATCACAGGACATACATTTCAGAGGCTGAAATGCTTTCAGGCTCTGCATTGACTCACAAGCAAGAAACATCTGCTTCAGATCTTTGCAGGTGGTACCACACAAAAACCCTGAAACTTTTAAAACTATGGGTGCTAATGAGCTACTTTTAAAAATGGCAAGTTTACAGCTATTTGGGAACAGTGTTTCCTTCCCCACACGAGTCATGAGCTACAGAGGGCAAAGGGCCAACATGGAAAGAAGAGCTTTCCAAAGAAGCCCCTCCAAATCAGGTGACACTGTCAGCACCTTTACACCAGATACATGCACAGGTGGCTCTCTCCAAAAGCTAACTTTAGGTTAGCACATGCCTCAAGGGGATGCTCTGCAGTTTGTGAAGCCACAAGAGCAGGTAGGGACTGAGCAGGCCAAGCAAAGGCTGAAATGGATGTCAATGCTGCCAGCACACGCACTGCCACTCAGATCCCTCATGTCACAGCCTAAAAGCCAAAATCCCTCACAGGAAACGCACCAGTGGTTCTCCTCACTACCTGTTGCTGTTTGGATTGATGCTACTGTCCTGTATGCCTCAGCTGTCCTTGTCCCTGGTAGGGAGAGATGTGAGAAATAAGGCCTAATCAGCTTGATAGCAATAAAACCCTCTGTG